TGCGGTAGGAGGAGCGCATCGCGTGAGCGGATAAAGGACAAAATACACAAATATGTTTCTAATCGCATTTTAAACCACTAAGGTTTGTCATAATACGACCTGTATCTACACAATACAAATTAAATATTAGTGCTGTTTTACGTCCTCATATTGGCGTACAATGTTATATAAAACAGAATGTTCTTTGAGTAGAAACTGTACAAGGTTATATCTAGGGTTATACTATTTATATCCAAATAACAACCAAATTGGAACTAAATTAGCAATGGGTAATTGTTCACCCTCCTCCTGTTCCTTCCTTGGAATCGTACCTTTATACATTACACGTTCAATACGGATAATGGGGTCGAATTATTAAAGTATGTTCTAATATTCAGTGTATATTATCCAAACACAATATGTAGAGATAATTAATTACACGTTATCCGAGTAGTACTTCCACAAAACGTCTTTATATGATTTATTAATACAAAGATCGACACAAAGAAAAATTCCTTTTATCTGACAGGCGTCGAACCTGCGTCTCTGTACAAAGTCAGCAAACCTAACGAATTTTCCTATGCTCTTTGTTTTTAGTTTTAACGACTTTTCGCCGTTGCGCTACCTATGAGAAATCTATGAAAGTATCTTCTTCATACAACCAGCTAACGGCCTCCGTAGTATGCTGCCTCGATATAGCTATTATATCCACATTTAGCTCTCAAATTCGAGTGATTAATTTTTAAAATGTTATCACAATAGCTAACATGGCGGGCACCGTGAAGTCACATTTGTAAGTCATTGCGAGCGCCGCAACCAATGATTGCAAAATATTAACACAGTGCCAAACATGGCTGCAAGGTCATCTATATCCATGGTCACAGACAAAGATTTAATATATTCTATATACTAAATCTATGGTCACAGCTGATATTAAAACATTTTGACAGTTCTGCACAGTAATTTTATCAACGTAAAAATTGAACGCGACAAACGAGATGAAAAGAAATTATAAAAACAAACAAATCAGAAAAAGGCGAGGAGAACATTTTTAATATAGTTCAATACATGAGAGTAAATAGAAATACGTAAATAATAACTAATATAATGTAAAAGATGTAAAAACAGAAACTACTAAAACCCGACATTTTTGTAGCTCATTACCAAATAAGCAAACTTAACTTTGTCAATTGAAATACATATTGTCACGGGGAGGTTTATCACCCAAACTGCTATTCTTCAGCCACAGAGGTTGGTATGGGATATCGCTTTATGAATTGTAATATTGACTGAAATGTATATTATGATGTTTTACTTTGACTTTGATGACTTCCGTGGTCGAGTGGCATTCACACTGGGTTTCTTAGTGCCGCCATCTTTGAGGTCTCGGGTTCGATCCCCGGCCGGGTCAATGTTGAAAAAACTAACTATTCTACTTTGTCTCCGGTTTGGGTGTTTAGTTTCGTGACCGCCGTTGTTACCGAATTCCATAATACAAGTGCTTTAGTTACCTCCTTTGGGATCAAAGACACGTATGTGATGTTTACTATTTTTTTTTGGCACAGTTCGAACCTTGTCACAGAGCAGGATTTTTTCTTTGTGTTCGGTCTTTATATTAATAATTATAACAAACTTATGGGGTATTTTTTATTCGTTTCATAATATCAAGTAACGGGACGAAAAAGTCGTATGCCTGATGGTAATCTATAACAGTTGCAATGCTACTCAGAGCTTTAAATCGCAAAGACCTGAGGTGCACTGCCACTGCGCCTGACACCCTGTGACGTAAGCATAATTTCACCAGCATCCTTACCCTTCAAAACCGGAACACAGTAATGGTCACATTACTGTTTGGCGGCTGAAATAGGTACGGTAGTAGTACTACCCTAGACGAACTCCTTCACAAAAAGCTCTACTGCTACTTACTTTTTTGTGCTTAAACGGGAAAGTTGTAAAATTTCACATAGTAAACTGTTTCATGTATTATTTTCATGACTTACATGTAATAAAAGCACTTGTGACGTATGATTACACGTAACTTTATAATACCAAGGGCACGAAGTATTGAATTTGAAGGATTGAATGAAAAAGAGAACTAATTTATTCTTCGTACATAAGAGCAGTCTTCTTGCCCCGCAACCCTTCCCCTCGTCGTTAAAAGATCCGATATTAAAGCTGTGTTCCTTTATCGCCGTATAGAGATCTGTGAGCCCAATAAGCTGCACACGTCCTTTTGCATACAAATGGGAATCCAATAAAATTTTAGCCCCATGAACACAAACTGTCAAGCCCAAACAAGTGAAACAACCTTAAAGCTTTCAAACAACGTTAATAGACATGTTAATGATTGTACGGATTTTCCTCGGAGAACCCACCTATAGGAAAGTTAACAGGTCATTACGACGGAGTTTACAATTTTAATGAACCCCCGACCTGAATTAGTAGATATTATAGATTATTCATTATTTTGTTCTTAACTTTTCAACCGTATAATTTTACAGGCTATTAGGGTTATTTATTTTGTAGAAGTTGACTGTTTGTTCGTATAAAATAAACGTAGTTTGTATTAAGTTTTATTAAATTTTGTATGCACTCCTTCATTTACAGGTACATAATTAAATAAGTAGCAGTAGAACTCCTTGTGAAAGAGTTCGTCTAAGGTAGTACGGTAAGGTAGTAAGGTTTACCTTACCTGTTTCTGCCTCTATGCAGTAATGTCAGCATTATTGTGTTCCGGTTTTGAAGGGCATGGATGCTATAATTCGTTTCAATCCATTTTGAAGAAAAAGTAAACAAACAAGTCACTGACCCGACCATAGACTGTTTAGTGATGGCCAATTGTAACGCCAACTACAAATCGATTAATTAATTGAATGAATTCGATTTGTACAATTGAGTCATAATAGCGGTTCACTTTACAGAACTTATATAAGCATATTTAAAATTTCAATTTAAATCCTCCTTCAAATCATTCCTTATCTAAGTGATACTCGTTCGATTGCGATTGAAACGTTCGATTTAATAATCGATTTAAACTTTAATTGATTGAACCGAATGTTTTTTTTTCTAACAGCACTACGTAACCATAGGCAAGTCATAGAGGTATATATGAATAATAACCTCACTTTTGGACTGTCATTTTTCAAATACGATTTTACGAAGCTATTCAAATGAATATTGTTGGAAAAAGGGATGATGTATCAAGTCGAAATCTTCGAAATATACGTGAAAGAGTTACTTGTTCGATTTATTGATTGATTGCTTTAGAATTTTAACAAACAAGTTTGTTTACTTTTTGTTCAGAATGGATTGGAACAGACTATAATGAAATTACAGACACATGGGACTTGCCAACTTATGTCTCAGGGTGCCGGGCACAGTGGTAGTGCCCCTCAGATCTTTGCAATTTAAAGCTCTGAGTGGCACTGTAGATGTTATGGACAGGCGTGTAGCTTACCATCAAAAAACATCTTGATGTTATAAAAAAAAATCAAACACTCACTTTCACAACTCTGACATTTCGAACCACCCAGTCCAGCCCCTTGGATGTAATTCAGGAAAACATCACGGCTTGAATTTGATTTCTCTCATGTGTTATTATAACGCCTACATTATGCGCATATTTCAGACGAATGATTCGGCTATTAAGACAACATTACAACGGGGAATGTTGGTAATCATAATACATATGCAAAATGCATGGTCCCTGGAGATTGCGACATTGAAGGTCTCATTACAATAATTGCGTTTGGGTATACGCTTGTTGTTCCTCAGTGACATCTAAAGTACGCATTATGTATTTGTGTGCATGTTCAGACATTGCATGTTGGTATCGTAATACCTTAGATTAACTTACAACTTTGTGCCTGTTTCTAATGCAACTTTGTGTCTACTTTACACGTTCTGTCTCTGCCTCTGTGGCCGAACGGTTACCAAGCCGTGAAGATTAAAAATTCTACGAACGACATCAAACGATAACTTTTATAAAATTTCCCATATCGTGTTGTTAACACATAGGGAATCAGTACAGAGTACTAAAAAAACCGATATCAAAAGTATTTTTTAAACCGAATTCATCCTCTAGTTCACCACTATACGGAACTTGACACAGGAGATAATAAAAATCGATTCTCACTACTCAAAGTATATTGAGAGAGAAAAACGCCTGGAATTGGAGAATAGGAAAATCAACCATTAAAATAATTGCTCCTTATAATAAAATTTAGGCGCTATTTATAAAAATTAATCTTCATCCGTGAACAGCCACCCTTAGAGGTGGATGATTTTCTTCAAAATTAAATGGGACCATTATGGAGGAACCCTCTTTCCAACAAAAAAAGAATCATCAAAATCGGTTCACAAATACCGGAGTTATCGCGTAACATACATACAAAAAAAAACATATAGTCGAATTGAGAACCTCCTCTTTTTTGAAATCGGGTAAAAATGAATAGGTACTTTACAGACCTTTAAACAATTTCCTATTTGCCAAATATATATTTAAAAATAAAAGGGAAATTTGTCAAGAACTGGCTCACAAAAAGTTTTTTGTTTGTTTTGTTTAAATTATTTCCTTAAAGTATTAAATTGTTACTTACAATATTTTAACAACGGTTTTATTGACGTTATATTTCACATATTTTGAGTTACAACACAATTGTAATAGGAGTGCGATGTACACAATTTGTTTCATGTTATGATTTTCATGTGATAAAAGCACTTTGACGCATGATCACATCAGGTTACACTAGGCTACATCACTAAGGGTACGACATAAACAGTTCATGTGATTGCCAAGCCACGTAACCATTATAAAGGAACATTACATTTCAGCCAGCAAAACAGTCATAAATACAGTTTTCAAGTACAATTGAAAGCGTGAAAGTTGAAACTTTTAAAAAAGCGGAAAACTTCCTCGGTGGTTCCAGTTGTTAGAGCGGCAGAAAAGTGAGCACGAGTGCCGCAACAGGAGGGAGGCTCCCAGCTGTGGGCGGGGACCACAACCCCTCATTCGTTGGCCGACCGTCGCCGGCGCCACACGATCGCCGCCGCACCGACTCGCTGCGAAACTTTCCCGAACTTCGATTGTGGAACTGAAAGTGCGCGATGTGCTGAGCGAATCGAATGCAATCTGTGTTCAGTGAGCAAAGTGGATTTTAGTTTAAAACTTTTTCTGATCAACCAACCAACCTGTGTTCTTTACTATGGATGCATTTTGAACTTTAATTTATGGGTAAGTTATTCTTAAGATTAAATATTTTCTTGTTAAGTTACACTTAAAAGAAAAGAAAAAAACATTTTATCGTAAATCTTGTTAAACAACAAAATTCACATCTGATATACTTTCGTCTTGGTATTTCTTATTAAATAATTTCAGTGATTAAATAGGTACACCAAAAATAGATAGTTCTTTTTGTCTTTGTTTTTAATTTAGTCTTTTTTTTTATTTAGTTTTATTGTTATGTGTTGTGGTGTTAGCACTTTTAATTACTATCATTATTGCTAAGTAATTCGTTATCTACAAGCGAGTGTTGTTGGCGCACGTTCTTGTTTATAATAAACATTAAAATATTTGTTGCAAACCTTCAAAAATTATTCACGTAAAATGGTTTCAAACCGAGATTTTGCTCGAAGAAGATAATTTCATGGCCGGCGGGACGATAAATTTCAAAAGGGGCATGTAATTGGAAAGAGGGACTGGATATTGGAATTTAATTAATTACAAAATTTTGTACCAAAAATTAGTAATTCACAGGGCGAAAATTAAGATATGTGTTCGTGAAGTTTAATTTTATCCTATTCTCATATGGTGGAAGTAGGCGAATCATAACAATACCTTTATAAGTGTACCTTTATAAGAACAATAAACATGTAGAGTGAGGAAAAGTACTAGATAATTTAACCCTTTCATGGATAATTACTTAAATAGCAGCGCACACAAAAATTTCACTACTTTTCTTGCCGTAGTGCTTATATTGATTCACAATAAAATGTTCAATGTATGTAAGTCATTGAATATTGTCAGTTCTCTATGGCTCTATCACGGTACAGTTACCTTAGCGAAGATTAATTATAGATAAAATAGTTTTTTATGTAGAGTTAGCAAAGGCTTGGACAGTGTGCTGAGCAATCATGACTTGGATGTTGATATGAATATTTATTATAATTGTAATGTTGATGCGCTAAAGCGTAAACTCACCGACATTCCATTTAATTTTATTGAATAATTTGTGACATAACCGCACGCATTGGGTTGTTATTATTTATGTTGTTTAATGCTTTTGTTTTATTTGTATGAAGCTATATGTGGAAACCTGTAATTGGGTTTATGTTTCTTTTCCTGTTTTTATTAAATGTTTGGAGCTGTTGGTTTGTCATGAATAAATAAATAAATGGAAAAACAGTACGTGGCAACAGCACAGAAAGCACTGTAAAGCTCGGAGTTGGTTTTTTGAGATCCATATAGTGAAACGGGGTATCCCGTACTATCATATTCTAATATTTAATTTCACGATAAACGCTCTTGCAGTCCTTCAACGGGTTAAAAAACTAGTAAGTAAAACGTTGTATTCTATGTATTAGTTTTATTACTAAAATGCAGCATAGTCTGTATTTGAGTATTATAACTATGCAAGTATGGCAGCCACTTTTAATATTAGGGGTGCTCTTTGGCATAGCTATTACCTGCAAGCTTGGAGCAGTTTTGCTCCCTTTTACGGATAATAGAGTTCTAGTGTAGCGTCGGATTCAACGTACAGCTAAAAGGCTAGAAAAATATAAGAAAATTCGTTCTCATAGGATAAGAAAATCACATGTGATCATACGTCAAAAGTGCTTTTATTACATGAAAGTAATAAAATAATACGAACTACAATAAACAAATTGCTTATATGTGAAATTTTATAAATCTCCATAATCTCAGCATAAAAAATTTTAACCTTTCTTCTGAAAAATTGTGATTTCGCAGATGTGACCTTATTATAACTAGAGTGGGAATCAAAGATTGAGTACCAGTGTTGGATACAAGAATGCAATAAGAAGCATATATTCTATTTTCATACAGTTGATAAGAAATTGGTTGCGGCAACCGGACATAGTCGCAATTTGTATGAATATAGAATATTTGCCTCTAGTTGCCGGTTGCCTGTATCCAACACAAAACAGGTTTGCGCGGCATTACAATGAAATGTCTGTACACGGTAATTGATCCTATACAAGCCAATTGTTATTACGAAAAATGTAATTTTTTACAATGCTGTGTATTTAGAGTGCTATTCGAATACACATACCTACTTAAATTCGTATTCAATTATACTTATCAGCAGTAGAGCTCCTTGTGAAAGAGTTGGTCCAGGGAAGCACTGTCACCTTACCTATTTCCGCCGCCAAACAGTGATGTGAGCATTATTGACGGTCCAAAATGTCACAGGGATCATTTTATATGTACAAGCGATATTCGTATTTTTTTGGACGCGAATCGGACTTAGTGCACAAGCGACATCCGAAGTATCTCCGAATTTTCTAGATTTGTATAGTCCCGGGTTCGAAAGAAATACGAATAGGATGCAGTGCGTAAGCACGCTAAGGGTGTTGAAATTACAGGCGCATGGGACTTTTCAACTTATATCACAGGGTGACGAAGGCAGGGCATTGCCCCTCAAATCTTTGCGATTTAAAACTCTGAGTGGCACTGCAACTGTTATGGACAATTGCTAGTCCCGACACTATGTGTCACGAAAAGAGATCAGATCTTTCAAGATTATTATATAGAAACTTAGTCATGTTTAAGTTTTGCTTTTACTTAATAATTTGGGCTGCGCTTGGTGGCAAATGAAACGCGACAGTGGCTATCGCGGAATATTTTGCGCCAAGAATAGAAATTGTCAACAAATATGAAGACATTTTTCGTAAATTGAAACAAATAACGGCGACGTATTTCATAAATTCACCATTGATATTGTACAAGTTAGTAAATGTGTTATTGGAGGAAGATATAGAGAGGAAGATAAAGTTAACCTTGCTATTCATTGCTTCCTAACTAAATATTTCCAATATTATGAGCACTCACATAAATTGATTGCTGTGAATGTGTACGTATTGTTACCTGGATAGATAGTTTTGACGCTAACTGTACAAGATCCCAAATGATACCATTTTTTATTATTATTATAAGTAACGGGACGAACAAGTCGAGTGTCTGTTGAGCTACACGCCTGCCCATTACGTTACAGTGCCACTCAGAGCTTTAAACCGCAATTTGAAGGGCATTATCATTGCGCCCGGCACCTTGAGACAAAGTTGACAAGTCCCATGTTTCTGTGATTTCACCAGCACCCTTATACTTCAAAACCGGAACGCAATAATGTTCGCATTACTGCTTGGCGGCAGAAATAGGTTAAAGTATAGTACTATATGTATATTGCTACATGCTTAGAATAATAACGCATAGAAACCTAGCCAGCACACGCTAAGTGAGGCAAATTGAAGCGCTCCCAAAGGGCCTACACGAGCGGGCGGGCCTTCAGTGCTCAAGGTCAACTTACACCTCGAACAGCTTCAGAATTTTAGCTAAAAATGACGAAATGAGTGTAAAATATAAATATTTTTTTAAATAGCGTGTCTATACGTCAGACAAACATAAAATAGATAATAACATCACATTCCACAAGGAAGTAACGCGTTTCAACTTGTATTTTTATATAAATATTCACTAAAACCGAAAATTAACCTACTACTAAAAATAGCCTACATGAATTTGATTTTTGCCTCACTTGTGACAGTCCGTTTGATATGAAACTATCATTCTATGCATTATTATTATAAGGCTACATGTATAAAATTCATAAATATTTAATTTATTTATTTATTCATGGAAAACCAACAGCTTCTTACATTTAATAGAATCAGGAAAAGAAACATTTAGACAATTATTGGTCACCTGTAGCTTCAGACAAATCATACACGAGCATTAAACAAACGAACGATAAACACTATTTCTTAACAACTTGCCCTTACATAAATATTCCCAATACCTGCGCTAGTCACAAATTATTGAATAAAATTAAATAGAATGTCCGTGAGTTTACGCTTTAGCGCATCAACATTATAATTTTAGTAGCGCTCTTTGTGAAAGAGTTCGTCCAGGGCAGTACTGCTACCTTACCTATTTCTGCCGCCAAGCAGTAATGTCAGCATTACTGTGTTCCTGTTTTGAAGGGTGAAATTACAGGCACATGGGACTTGTCAACTTATGTCTCAGGGTTACGGGCGCATTAGCAGTGCCCCTCATATCTTTGTGATTTAAAGCTCTGAGTGGCACTGCAATTGTTTTGGACAGGCGTGTAGCTTACCTTCAGGTGCATGATTGCTCAAAAATTGAACTTTGACACACGCTGCTCCGACAATATGTTACATCGACACGATTTTACTCAGAGATTACGCTACTTCGACAATATATTACTTCGACATTACTCAGACAATACGCTACTCCGACAACATGTTACATCGACATGATTTCTACTCAGACACTACGCCACTTCGACAAGACAGACGAGATGTTTAAAAAAAAATCTTTGTACCCAGATAAGAAAAATCATCATTACAAACCCATTTAGGAAATGGTTTCTTATTACATAGGGTAAAACCGGGATGCCCCACTTTTTGAAAGGGCCTCTTAATTTAAAAATTATTAGTTTACCACGAATAAATAATTCCTATGGATATCACTAGTTTAATTGTTTACATTACATGAATACTTGATTTTATTGATCTAACATTTACTGACTTTGAAGAAACTTTTTGCAAACCCATTTTGAGATTTGCAAAAAACATTTGCAAGAAACCCATTTTGGATAGATGCCTACCTATATGGATAAAAGCCACACAATGAAAATACTAAGAAGGATAGATGCCCTTTAGAATAAAATTGTAATATTCATAATAAAATGTTTCATTTGTAATCTTTAATATATTGTATATATACATACTACACCGTTAATAATAAATACATACGTATTTAAAGTTACTACTTACTTGATTTCGTATTTTTGTAGCTATCAAAACATTCCATACAAAAATGTTCTCTGTTTGAACTGTGAATAATTTGTCTTTTTGGTACATTTATTTACTTTTAAACTATTATTATTTACATGTCTTTTTCACTGAAATAATGCATTTTTTATTTTATTTTCCTAATTTCCTTGTTTTGTCCTTTGCTCCTAAGGGCAGATATGG